AAGATATTGAACAGTACGGGTCCCAAAACAGACCCTTGAGGAACTCCACTTGTTATCCCTTTCCAGCAGGATTTAGAACCGTTAACAACAACTCTCTGACTACGGTTATCCAGCCAATTATGCACCCACCTTATCGTGGCTGTCTTATATTAATGAAAAACAGGAAGAAGAGGGTGAACATCTCACAACTTCCCTCCTGCCCCCACTGGATGCACTAGGCTCAGGGCAGTCGTAGGGTACAGCCATTATAGACAGCTACAAGGCACTTCAGTTAATACATGTGATGAACTGGGCAGGGGGCACAAAGTCCAAGAAGATCCCTGCAGGTGAGGCAGACATATTGAGGGGTTGTGCCAGAACCTCCCTAGCTTGGGAATGGTTTGAACCGAACTGGTTTGGGTGGAGGCACTCATAAGACCTACCCGGAGATGGTGCAGTCATCATCTGGCAACAGGTGCTTGTGTGTGGTTTGTAAACATCAGCCTGCCTCACTGAGCATGCAGTGTGTCCCTTTCTCTTGCAGTGGGAGCAGAAGCCTTCCATGGTGTGTGTAGCAATGAGATTATAGCTCACTAGACGATTTGCCTGGCATTGCTCGGGTTGGCAAGGTCCCCGTGTGAATTGTGGGGGAGAGTTCTACCCCCCTGCCCTCCCTAAAGAACACCTGGGGGCTGGGAGGCTTGGGTGGGGCTGAGGAGGAGGAGCTCAGTATGCAGGCTGCCCCGGGGAGAAAAGCCAATCCCAGCCCTCTCTCACCGCAACAGCTTGGGGACAGGGAAAAGCACCTGTCCATGGCCACTGCAGCTGCAGCAGCCACAGGTGGGGAGGGGACCAGGTTCCCTGGTTGGGGGATAGACACACACACACACACACAGAAACAGATAAACTCTCTCAAATATATAATAGATAGCTATCCCTTTCTCCACCCTTGCGCCCTGCTGACCCAGTTATAGCTGTCCTGGTCCCCATCTCTGGCCTTTTGCTGCCCCCCTGTGGTCATTATACAATAAAACTGTCCCTGTGAGCAGAGCCCTCCCTTTCCATGTTATGAGCAACAATTGCATTCCAGCCACACCCTGTTGTCTTGGCACAACCAACTCCTTACTTTGCTTTAAGATATAATAAGAGGAAGCTGCATACCAAATTTGGTGGTCCTAGCTCTTTCTGTTTAGGAGTTCTTGAACAAACAGACAGACAGATTCACTCACAGACAGACAAGCTCTCTCAAATATATAGCAGACTAGGACTGCGTATTCCAACCCAAGCAGGGAGCAAGTTCTCTTCAAACTAACTAGCTCCCAAGGAGAGAGTCACAAGGCCAGGTAAAGCATTACATCAGCACAGCGTGGGCCAGTCTTGTAGCTGGTGCAAACTGGTGTTGTTCCACAGACTTCAGTAGCGCCTTGCCAAGCCACACCAGCTGGGGACCTGACCTTCAGCATTAGAGCACAGAGTAAAAGCAGGTTTGGAGAATGTGGCAGCAACAGACGACTCTGGACAAATAGATTTGGGGCTCACCAAACTCAGGGATTCATTCACGGCTTCTAGCCTGATTCTGAGGGGTGAGCACTTGCAGCCCCGCTGAGAGTAACTCAAGGCCACCTCTCAAGTTCAGGCTGCTAGGGATCATACCCTCATAATTCATTTCTGGGCTCCCCTTCCTCTGAGGGTGCTCTGAGAGAGTCAGAAATTTGCAGGCCAGCCTGAGAAACCTCTGAGAAGCCCAAATGTGCGGTTGAAATTGGTACAGTGTGGCTAATGGTTCGTTGTATTGCAGGTGTTGTTGTGTGACCACCCTGCACCTCAGTTTCCCCAGCTGTAACAATGAGGGTAACAATACTTACCTCCTTTCTAAAATGCTGTGTAGGCCTCAGCAGGATCATGAAAATTAAATGTGTACACAGGCACCCGTCTATGTTCTGTAAGGGTATGTCTACACCACCACCCTAGTTCGAACTAGGGTGGTTAATGTAGTCATTCGAAGTTGCAAATGAAGCCCGGGATTTAAATATCCCGGGCTTCATTTGCATCTTGCCGGGTGCCACCATTTTTAAATCCCCCTTAGTGAGGACTCCGTGCCCGCGGCTACACGTGGCACAGAGTAGGTAGTTCGAATTAGGCTTTCTAATTCAAACTACCGTTACTCCTCGTGGACATCCAGCTAAGTAAACTCATGCCGAACCATGGATGGTGCGGGGCCAGAGAGGGCTGTGCTAGAGCTGCTTGACCTGTATAGCAAAATGCTTCAAGTATCAGAGGGGTCGCCGTGTTCGTCTGAATCTGCAAAAGCGGTGAGGAGTCCTGTGGCACCTTATTGACTAACCCAAGTGTAGGAGCATAAGCTTTCGTGGGCAAGGACCCACTTCGTCAGATGCATGCAGTGGAAATTTCCAGAGGCAGGTATAAATATGCAGGCCAGAATCAGGCTGGAGATGACGAGGTGGATCCAATCAGGGAGGATGTTTGCGCCACATGGCACTGTGTATGGAAGTGGTGGTTGCTGCCACCTAGTGTTTAATAAGAACAGTATATGTTGCTCTGGAAGAATAAAGCTGGGGAGGGAAAACTTTTTTGGGTCGGGGCCACTGACCCACAGAAAAATCAGTTGGGGGCTGCACAAAAGTGAGAAGCCAGAAAACCCCCCACCCCAATACAAACACTCACTGATGTGGCCTCTGAGTGAGAAGTAGAAAGACTCCCCACATTCCCCTCTTACACCAGGGCCTAGAGGGGCCCATGCAAGTAGATGTTATGTGCTCTAGCCCCATGGTTAGGCAACAGGAGACTGGAGTACCAGCATCAGTTCCCCAATGCTGGGGGGAGGGGGAACCATGAGCCCAGGGATTGGATCAAGGCAAACTGGGGGCCACATGTGGCCCCCGGGCCTGAGATTCCCCATGCCTGGAATAAAGGATATAGTGGCTGGCTGGGTTCGGTTTTGTGGTTACATTATTTGAGGCCTGCAGCATCTGTTCTTTGAGGTTGACAGACTATTGTTTTGCTTGGAGTTTCTGGTTCCCCTCAACCTAAATATCATTAGCCATCCCCAACCTTGCTCCTTCCCCTCCCTTCCCCGCAACCTTGCCTTTACATAATTGTGGAGGATGAAGGGAGCTAACAAATCAAATCCATCTTAATACAGCCAAAGAACGGCGCACTGTCCCCTCCCCCACAATCATGTACACAGATTTCTTTTTTTCATCAAGAAAAACACCTAACAACCTAGGAAATGAAGTGCAAAAATTAATTAACATGACATGAAGGCTGGAGTCTTACGCACTAAAAATAGGGTTGCCAGTTGTCCAGTATTGAACCGGACAGTTTGGTATTTTTGCCTCCTGTCCGGTAAAAATATTCAGAAAATACCGGACACCTAAAATGTCTGGTTTTTAGGGTTGCCAGATGGTTTCAGTAAAAATACCGGACACACTTGACATTACATCACAATCTACATTACATCTTATTTAGAAAAAAACGGACATTTATATTTTCTCGTTTATATTTTTTCAATTTGATTCCTGAACGGAAAGCTCATATACTGGACTGTCTGGTTCAAAACAATACTGGCAACCCCACCAGTATTTTCTGATTTTTTTCCCGGCCAGGAGGCAAAAATTCTGGGCTGTCCGGTTCAAAACAGAGGCAGGGTTCTGCAGGCGAGATGTCCGGCCTGTGCAGGGAGGCAAGATGGCTGGCAGCTGCCAGCAGCCTGTTAGGGCCAAAAAGCTTCCCCATGCATTAATGGGGCCATGCTGCCTTTTTATTTATTTATTTATTTATTTATTTATTTATTTTGCTTTGCTTTGCTTTGCTTAACAACTCTTGGGGTCTGCTACTCCCAGGGTCTTTTTCGTTTGTTTTGCTTAACAACTCTCAGGGTCCTTTTTTTTTATTGGGTATTTTTTCTGAAACCATCTGGCAACCCTAACTAAAAAGTGAGGAAAGGCAAATGTGATGACTGGGTGGGTACACAAACCAATTCCTTTTGTTCACAGGCATTATGATACAGCCTTTAAATGTGTGCTCACTGGTTACATAAAGTATTTGGGGAGTATCTAAGATTGCAGTAAATGGTGTATTATTTACAGTTATCTGAGAAGCAGTATGTAATCACATACTTACTGTCATCATGTAAAGGCCCAAGGACAGTGGAGCTGTGGGAACAGCCCTTGCTTCTGTAGTTCGTTGCTTTTGCATGCTTAATGGTGCAACTTTAGGCCTGGTCTGCACACAGTGTTTGTTCTGATTTAGCTATTTTGGTTAGGGGGGGCTGCTTTAAACCAATATGGTGAAAACAGTACAACCACTGCTGTGAATGTCGTTACACCAGCGCAAAGTTGCCTACCCCAGGATAATTTTATTTCCCCAAATTAAGGCGTATAAGTTATACAGGCATAACTCCATTCATACTAGGAGGTTCTGCTTTAGCTATAGTAGTTCTCTATAGTGAAAGCAGTAACATAACTGTATATTGACCAGCCCTCAGTGTTGCACTACTACTTTTTGCATTCAATAGCCCTGGTCTGTTGTCAGTTGTGTGCAGGGGTATAACCAGTCCATCTTTGTAGTTGCAAACTCTGATTGGCAGAAGGGTTACCCAAGAGCAGATTTTGGCTGATCATTTCCAAAGACCCTAGGGATTATACTTGAGCTATACCTGGGAGCTAAGGCTGAAGTGAAGACAAGCCTTAAACTGATGGACGAAAAAGAAGCAAGAAAGAGAGGAGGAATTGTCTTGTGGTTAAGGCAGGTGGTTGGTCTCAGTGCCACTGAGAGGGGACAGTGCACCGTGTGTGTGTGTGTGTGTGTGTGTGTGTGTGTGTGTGAGGGGACAGTGCACCGTGTGTGTGTGTGTGTGGTTCTTCATTAATCCAAAGATCCCTGGAGGGATGGAAATGCAAAGGTTATTTATGCCGACTTTTGGCTTACCGCTGGCTGGAGGGAGGCCTATTTACAGGGGAACCGGCCGCCTCCAGGAGAGGTGGAGCGGGGGCAGTTTCCCGGGAGCACACACAGGAGGAGGCTGGCTTGCAGCGGGGAGCGAGAACGGCTTGTTGCTGGCTGGCAAACGAAGCAGAGCTCGGTGAATGCCGGGGGCTCTCGGTTTTGCTCTCCCCCGGAGTCCAGGCGGCGTGTGCAGTGGGTGGCCGACGCGTCCTGCCTTGCTAGTTATAGTAAGTGCCCCCCAGCACCTCGGGGAGGGCCAGGGCGGCTCTGTCTGGGTAGAGCCGAGAGCGCTGCTTGGAGCGGAGGGGTCGCTTTCTGCTGCTTGGCCACCCTGGCCGCCAGCCGGAGC